TGAATAAAAGGACGCACGTTTAGTAATGCTCCTGCAGATGCAATAAACCCACAAGCCAGATAGCCTTGCATATCCTTTGAGTCTTTTCTTTCCTCCTGACAGGTAAATCTTGCGGAGTACAATCGAGTACTCAGGGTTTGTTCTACCCTGTTGCAGGTGACAGGAACATGTGGAGCTAACACTTGTGTGTGGAAAGCTCCTGGTGGGCTCAGCGAGGATTTCCTTAAAGTTGTGGACATAGAGTTTATTTGAAACTTCCACCCAAAATGTTTTACAATGGAAAAACTTATAACCTGTTATGATGTATATAATGGATCATCATGTTAATGTTTAACTTATCAATAAATGATTTTGTTTCCGCTGAAACTCTGATAACATGGTTATTTTCTGCTGTTATAAACAATAAATATTATACTCTGATGTTGCATGAAAAGTGACGTAAGAAATGACGTAAGAATGTTGTAAGCTTTATTCTCTCATTTATGATCCTAATAGAAAAATATGAGTTTTCGGGTTCTCCCTTGGGGTGTCCTCGATAGAACCGCGTAATTTAGTATCCTCCCTTGAGTAATTAGTGTCTAATGGAGGACAAGTACTCCTGGGAGGCATTAAATTAGGCGGTTCTACCAAAATACAAGTAGATCGACCTCAAACCCTAGAAATCACCTCAACAACAATGTGAATGACAAGTATGTAAACACACGGTGACACAAGGATTTATCCTATGGTTTAGCTCGCCACTAAGGCTTGCCTAAGTCCACGTTGTTGAGGTTAGCCACTAAGGCTTGGAGCTTTGCAACCCTTCCTTGTTCTAAAGTCAAGAGAGTTAACTCTTGAGATGAGGGGTGAGTTTACTAGCTTCAAGAGATGGTTACAAACCTCCCGGGGCTACCACACAAGTTGGCAAGCTCCACGAGCGACGCTCTAGCCGGCTAGGAGCAAGCTCCAAGAGTAACAAACACAATCCACCAGCTAAAACGCGAACCAAGTGCTCTTAGAGTTTGGAAATCAGTGGATCTGCTCTCTAATCAAGTTTTAGAGCCTTTTCTCTCAAGGATTGATGGGAAAATCACTAAGGAATGCTTGGAAGCTCAAGGTCACCAATGGAGAAGAGAGAGAATAAGAAATGAGCAGCTGGGCGTCGGTCTGCAGGCACTACACCACAACACCGTTTCACCGTCAGACATCTGACGCTAAAAATTATATTTGGCAATGGATGATCTGACGCTAAAGATAACTCAGAGACCATCTGATGCTAAATCCTTATTTAGCGATTTAGTGTCTGTCGCTATATGTATTCATATTTAGCGTTGAACCATCTGTCGCTAAAGCCAAGTGTACCGTCAATCTATCTGTCGCTAAAGAAAATGGACCCCACCTACCATGACAATCCCTAGGTCCTCTCCCAAATGCTAAACACAGCCGCCACCTCTTCTTTCATCTCCCGCAAGCCACATCTAGCTTTTTCCTCCTCCACTCTCTCTCCGGTCTCTCCCTCATGGCGGAGCTCCGTTCCCTCATTTCCCCCATCTCCTGTCTGGATTAGAGTGGCGGCGGCGGCTCGATCCCACCCAGCGGCACCCTCTCCCCTCCACCTCGAAAGCCGGCGGCCTTCCCCAGCTCCCTTGCCGGCGCATCCCGTGGATCCATCGAGGAGGCTGCGGATCCGGCGGCATCTTCATCCTCCCCACCGATTTGGGCGTCACAAGCTGACCTCCTCCGCCATCGATGCTGGTGCGGGCCCGTTGACGTGGAGGTGAAGGTCCGTCGTCGTTGGCGAGGCCTCGATTTGGGGAGGATTCGTCACCGGTGAGGCCTCGATTTGGGGCGGATTCGGTGACGCGGCCTCGATTTGAGGCAGAGGTGGAGGTGGAGGCGGTGGAGGCTGATTCGAGCGTGCTTCGGGCTGAGGAGCGAGGGGCCCTACGAAACCGCTGCCCGTCGAGACCCGGCATCTACAGTCAGGACCGGGAACAAGGATCCAAACCCTACTGCGACACGACTGCCGGCCGCGCGGCTGTGAGGACGTCGACATCGTCACCGGCGACAGTCTCGAATGACTCCAGCTCCTCCAGTTATGCGCCGCCGCTTCGTCCGCCTGCCCCTCCCCGCTCTTCGCCCCTCTGCTCCCGCCGGGTGCACGTGCGAGACTTGTGTGCGTTGCGCCGGTCGTTCCATGATCCCCGACGTCATGTTCCGTGGTCGCCAGGACATTGGTGGGTACCGACTGTGAAGGCTTGCATTAGAGCTGGGTTTGCTTGCTCCTACATTGGTGGGTACCGATTTATTTATTGTTAGGTTCATCTGTTATGCACAAGGAATTTGCTACAACTTTTTAGGTAGTGTATGGCATTCTGAAGGCAAGATGCAATCTAATAGTGATTTACTTTACTGGTTCTCAATAAGCAACTGAATTAGCAGACCTGGGTAACGGGTGCGTCTATTGCCTAAGCTACAACTCCATATAAAGTTACTAATTATCTGTTGCCGCCTTTGTAATTATGTGAGACTGCACTTTGGTCAGTACAAATATCAGAACCTGACTATAATAAACCTTAAATGTCTATTAGTGTTGTCAATTAACTTATCTTTGCCTAGGTTGGTGATTTCTGGTTGCCATCACAGCCAGTAGCTCTAGTCTGCCCCTGTTTTAATCTGCTTGGTTTGACCCTTAGACTGGTCTTGCGTTGTGGTCTTGCGTTGTGTTTTGCATGGCACATGGCAGTATGATCAGTGACTCAGCGTTACTTTGAAATTAAGCTATTTGCAGCCAGCAATTCAGCATTACCTACTGGTCTTATTCATTAGTTGTTGAGGCAACAGCAAAATAACCCTAGTTTTCTGTTGCAAATTCTTATGAGCTGGTAGTGGTGTATTGGAATTATTAATCCATGACACAAGCATTGTTTATTAAAACTAATGAAATCCATTCTGTCATTTAACCTGTAGTTTGTTAGGTACAAGCTTGTTATTTTTCCAGATTATTCTACTGCCTACTTGATCGGATTGCATGCCCAGATATTGAAAGACACATGTTACGTGTTAACTGCAAAGCGCAAGATATGAGGTGATCAAGGTCAGGCTGCACTGGAGAAAGCTAGCATATGCTTGCTTAACTGTGGTCCTACTGGAACAGAAGCGTTGAAGAACCTCGTGCTTGGAGGAATAGGAAGTGTGACTGTTGTTGATGGCTCCAAAGTTGAAGCATCTGATCTGGGGAACAATATTCTGTGTAATTTCTTCGCTTTGTGATTCCACCTGTTCTTCTGAATTCATCCCCACGAAATTGATGGAACTCATATTCTGGGACCTTAAATTTGCATGCAGTGGATGAAGGATGTTTGGGGCAACCAAGAGCTAAATCTATATGTTCTTTCCTACAAGAGCTTAATGACGCTGTTAAAGCCAAGTTTGTTGAGGAGTTTCCAGCTCATTTGATAGACACTAATCCATCGTTCTTTTCCCAGTTTACTGTTGTCATTGCTACTCAGGTGTGTTCTTCAGTCTACTTTTGAGATAAATTGCAAGAGCATGATTAGTCTGCTGGTGCTAGCTAGAACTTTTGATTTTATGAACACTTATGTTTTACGTGAAACAAAAATGTTTAAGAGATGAAACAAGCAAGAGGAATATTAGTAGATTTCATAGCTCTCAATAACCATACATGTCATCGCTCAATTTATGTTCTAATAAAGTTTATACTTTGTTAAAGAAGTTTATATGAATGAATGATTCTTATTAACACTTTGAATGTCATGTCTCTCCTATGTACCAAAACTGCACTGTGCCATTTGTATTCTCAGTGCTTGCATTTTCTGCGAACTGCAAGGCATTATTACATACTCAACTGCAAACTGAGTGTTGCTTATCTTGCGAAAATATGACCTGAAGGTTTAGTATTCCAATTGAACTGATTCAGGAAGCTCATGAGTCCATCTTATTCCGGTAGCTGGTGGTCCCTCAATAACTAATCCACTAAGCATGCCCCAGCTTTTATTTTAGAGATGCGGTTGGCCGGTTTTGCATTAGATCTTTTTGGTTTCGGATAAATGTGCCAAATCTCCTAGCCTTTAAACGTTGCAAAGCTGTGCATATTTCTAACCGATGCTTAAATTATTTATTCAATTACACTTGACTACTAAGCTCAAATTCACATGTTTTTTCCTAAACGAATTGCTCTAAACACATTGCTCGCATGCGTCTGGGTCCTTTGCCTATAGCCATTCCCTTATATTTTGTTATTCTTTTCTCAGTGTACTTTCAAAAATTTACAGAGCCAGAACAAAGATTTTTTTTTGTAAGGGTAACATGTAGCCTTTATTGAAGCACTTAGCCTGCAGGAAACATGTAACCTCCAATTTAAATTGTCATGCCAGTTTGTAAAGGGGATACTTCTATCTTGTAGTGTTACTGCTCAGAGATATTTCTATCTTGTAGCGTTGCTGCTCTCAAGAGCTGATTAAAGGTGAAATCAATTTAGTTTGACTCCCAACACTTTTATTTAGCAATTGGTCTCAGCCACTCTGCACATCTGCTAACTTTGATTCAACTATTTTCTTGCCATCATATATGAGAGCACTATCCTCCATTTGTTTATTGTTGTGACTGTGCTTTGTTATAACTATAATTCAAAAAGAGAACTCTTTCGTACATATGTCTGCTAGTTACTCAGTAGCCGTCCAGTGGTGCACAAGTGCTGCTTCTGGCAAAGGAAAATTGTGATTCAAAAAATAGTTTGGTTTTGTAAGGTCAATTCTTACTCTTTATTATCACTGTACATTTTGCTAGATTCACTAGACTGCTCGTCAGCTATGCCCACCTCCATTACATCAATTCTTACATTTTCACTATTTTGCTCAAGTCCTACGGAATCTGTTCATTTTGCCTGTTAGCTCAGTTTACTTCTTTTCTTTCATAGTTCAGTTCACCAGGTAGCAGGTAGGAACAGTTGTTTTCTTTGCATTCTACTTACAAAGTATCACTCCTTCAGAGATTGTGCAATGGATAGAAGGTAAAAATAGTGGTAATTTCCTTTCTTCTATTTGCACGTGTTAGCAGATCAAGATGATCCAGATGAACGACATGATCCTGACTCTGATATGGAAGTGGATGATCACAAGGCTGTGGACGAGTCAGCGAGGTCTCTCTCTCCCTCCCTCCCTCTCTAGCCCCTTCCCTCTCTGAGTGACTGTACTCATTACGTTTTGGGTTTTATTTTTCATCCTGATTTCCATTGGAGGCCTGAACCTGATGTGAATAAGAAGCTGAGTGCTGGCATTGCTTCTATCCTGGAGTCAAAGCTGTCCGTACCCAAGTCGCGCTTCTACCTCAAGTTCTATGACTCAAAGGTAAGCAGCCACTTGTACCTGGTCACCTTATGTAGTTTGGCTGTGGCACGACATAACAAGAAGTCTGATACTCTGTGGGTTACTTCTAAGATCTGTTACATCCCAACAACCTGTATCATATGCATTCTATACCGTCTTCAAAGACCCACTTGTACTTGGTGCCATCGAGCTAGTAGTTTCTTTCTTATGTTCTTTATTAGTATATGGCCATGATAAGTTGCAATTCGGTACATTTGGATTCCACGAACCCAAAATTCCGATCCATGTTGCTTCTCTATTCAACAGATCGTTCTTATGTATAGAAGCAGTGGAAGATGATGCCCTACCGATCAGAAGGCAAAACATCTTTTCTAACTCGAAGCAACCTGGCATTAGTTGAGCAAATATACTATGCTTTTCATCTAGTCAACTACTTAGACGAAATCAATAATATTTATATCCTATAGTGAAAGAGTATAGACTTGTTGATTGTGCAGGTTTACAATTTTTACAGGCATGTAACTTTGCTTCTTTTGAAAGCAGTATTTATATGCATCTAAAATGGAGTGATTCCTACTTTTGTAATAATACATCATACTGAAGCATATTAACTTTATCTGATCATGGATCTATGTTTCAGGTTCATGAATGAATCTATTTGTATGAGAAATGTGCACAATGATGTTATTTTTGTATTAATTTGCAACCAAATGGCCTTTTATTTTTTTTAAATGCATTTAAATGATCTTGTCAAACCATCTGTCGCTAAAAACATTTGTAGCTTCAAATTACCTGTCGCTATAGAGTACTGGAAGGCTATCTGACGCTAAAGAGTAGCAGCAGACTATCTGTCGCTAAAAAAATTCAGGGCAACGGACTGTCTGACGCTAAAAGTACTGTCTGACGCTAAAGATTTTTAGCAACAGGACTTACAGCGTCTGCAGAAGTCTGTCGCTATAACTTTTTAGCATCAGACTGTCTGTCGCTGTAGCCGCTTTTAGCGTCAGACCGTCCATCGCTAATCTTGGTGTTGTGGTGTAGTGAGGGCAGAGGTGGAAGAAAAGTTGTTGGAGAGGAGTGTGAGAGGTATAAATACCCATCGTCCCAACGGTCAGTTAAGTCATGGTAGTGCCGCTCAGCGGCAGTGCCTCTCTTCAGGTGCGGCACTGCCGCACCAGGCCAGACAGCAAAGGTGAAAACAGTGAATAGATGGTTGTCTTAGCTGAGCAAGTAAGGATGTATGTGTATAAGATTTAGCACTTGGTTGCACACTTTAGCAAGTTTATTATGTCCCCCTTTATAGTACAGCATTCCTATACTCAAATTCAAAATATAAAAGAATTTAAACCTCCTGTGAGTTTGATGACATCATTATTTGTAATTGGAGGCTGCTCCGTTTCGTATAAAATCCTCGATTGTAAATTCCCTGCTTGTCATCTCAATAAATCTCATTAGTCCTCTAATTGCGTGGTCATTATCACCAAAACCCACAATTAGAGCTTGATTGCACTTTCACAGTACATGCTTTCTTCTGATGTTGTTTTGTTTCTCATGAACCATTGGTTAAATACTCATGATGTCCAAAAGTGTCTTTGTCTGGTGAAAAGCTTGCAAGTAGCTGTGGCTAGATAAGGATGAGGTGGGGGATATATCTAAAAAGCTTTAAAGATTTATAAGTTATTGTGTATGCCACGCACATAAATGCACTATGGCATTTAAGACACTCCAAGGTTGTTAGGATGATGACAGACCATTAACAAACCCAAAAGAAATCCATTAGGGGCCATCAAACTTTTCTCTGATTCGTTTTCAAACGTGTACATTTGTCCGTTACCTTAAAGTCCCCTTGAAATCCTCTATATAAACCACCAAGGCCACTATTCCTCTTGTATTAATCATCAGTTGTTTGATCAACAATTTCAAGTAGAAGTTCATAGAAGCTTGAGTAAGGTAATAAGTCTATCTTGTTATTCCATAAGTTAATTCACTAATGGAGAGGGTGATGGCATGATTTGTTTTTTAAGATTGTTTTCTTTATTTAGGAAGTAATAACCCCTTCGTTGTGTTCATCTAATTTTGTATAGTTTTTACAAAAGGTCCTGCATGCTATTGATTATGTCAATTTTTAGCATCATATTAGGAATTAGATAGTACCTAATTCACTATATGTGCATGGAATCAATTTGAACATATAGATCTTTATCAATGTCAAATGGATCAGAAGAAAGAAGTGAGGATGCACAGGAGTTGCATGGATGACCATCAACACCTTTGATGACACCACAAGAACAAGCAATTGATGAGTTTTGGAGAAGACAAGAGGACATTGAGAATTTAATGAACTTCAACTATCACAATTTACCCATGGCCAATATTGAAGAAATCATTAGAGCCAATCTTGGTAGTGTCATGACATCATCTGACACTCCACCATTCGTGACAAAGCTATGTGAGCTATTTGTCCAAGAACTGGCAATCCGTGCTTGGATGTGTGCCTCATCCCATGGCCGCTTCACCATACTTGAATCAGAATATCACAGAGGCCATTAATTCTACCAAGCCTTATATTTTCCTCAATGGTGTTCTCCAAAGGCATGGGACAAATCATGATCAGGAATCTGCATCCAGCAATGCGTCCCCAACTACTACAGGTTCATAAGATAACTTAAGAAACTCCATTTTTCTCCATTACCATAACTCATTTAACATAGAATGATCAATATCCTTTTTTCAGGAAACACAATTTCTTGCAGCAAGCTATGAAAGTACCAAAACTGCCACACCAACCACAGTGACTCCTCTAGTGGGCCAAGGAAAAGTTGTTGATGATGATCAACAAAATATTGTTGTGCAGAAATGCCCTGAGAATTATGATTGTACAAGTGGTAGCAACATCCATTCTACTAAGGATATGGTGGTTTCTGAGTCTACATTGCACAAATTAGTGGAAGGACTCACAGTTTCCTGAAGACAACCATGTTCTTGCAATTAGCCCTGCACTGGAGATACAGAATGATGAAGATCTTAATAACATATCTACCACCTCAAGTGGTAGCACTAAAGAAACCAAATAAAATACAAGCTGATCGTTTATCAATTGTATCATCAAGTGCTCTAATGAATGATATGGTGGGAGCATGAACTATGTATGCATGTCCTACATATAGAAATAAATTATGGGAAACATTGTCTTGAGTTTTGTGTAAGTGGACTTTACTTGTATTTCCATCCACATTTATTAACTTTAACCTGTAAAGGTTGCCTCTTCTATTTAATCCAATAGTCATACATATTCCACTTGATGCATCAAAATATCAATCGAAGCATCCAAACATAGCCAGTTAGCTAACAAAAAGTTATTAGGTCGCTTCCTCTAGCTAGTAGCAAATAATTATCTATATAGATCTATAGTTGTATAAACGGATGGCATGGCATGGACCAACACGCACGCGGCGAGGCGCAGTAGGGCTTGGTTGAGCCCACATGACACAGTTGAGTTATCAGGCCATCTCATTCCTACCATCCTAGGCATGGCAAGGTAGAGCCTTTACATGTGTCATGTGTGTCAGCCTAGCAAGCCTATGAAGCCCGATGGCATGACAAAGCCTCAGAGTTGGAGACCATGGCTGGCCGGCCATAGCCATAGATGAAGATATGTCGAAGGTGAGACAATGACAGTCGAGAGCCAAGGACATCTGGGCTACCATGCCCTCGAGGGAGAGATTGATTTCAAGGAGCTAAGGAAGTTGGGTTTGGTGCGGAGGCATCAAATCCGGCTATGGAGGACCTAGATCCACCACCGTTGATGGTGGTCACAGTTGTTCCACCGTTTGTTGCCAATTTAATCCTCCCTGCACACGTATTGTTGTTTATGCACATATTGACCTTGTTATCAAATATGCTTTGTACTATTTCTATGCATATTCATGTTTATATAAGAAATAAATATGACATAAATTGGACACTTGCGTAACACAAGTTTGTTTATATGAAATTCTTTTTTATCATATACAACTTGGACGCACACAACCTATACACTCTACACTCACACCACACGCATACACGTAAAGAAGAGATTGGGAGGCGACGTCGCATGAGAACATGGGCTTAACTGCACACATGATAGAAGAGGCTCGTTAGTACAATGATGAGCTAATCATGGGCCAGGATCTGAGGTCTTCGTGTATCCTCTAGCCCAAGGGACGCACACATGATAGTCAAAAGAGGCTCGTTAGTACAATTAGTGTCTAATTATGAGCTAATCATGGGCCAGGATCTGAGGTTTTTTTTCTTCATTTGTATCCTCTGCAAAGATTCCCAGATGAGACGCACAAAATTTTTTAAATCTAAACAGGTCCTAAGCCCACATGACATAAAGATGGTTATTCATAGGCCTGCTGCCACGTCCATGACAAGACAAAGACCATTTTCGATCGTCATCATGATCTCACACCAGTGCAACTGTGACGCGTCCCACACGGGTTGCATGATGAGAACCACGTCACACTAGACACCACCGTCCCAGTCCACGTCACTGACCCCAGTCACTCAACACAATCCCAGATGCATCCACCTACCTAATCCTCTGCTCGCAGAAGCATCTCAGCGACAGATGCCATCACTTGCTGCTGCCAGCGACGATCTCCTTGATCCGTAGCATGAGGTCCCTGGACTCGGCGAACTCCGGGAACACGTAGAAGGCGTGGATGGCGTCGGGGTACTCGAGCACCCTGACCTCCTTCCCTTGCCGTGCAGCGCGTCGCAGTACCGCCGCTGCCAGTCCTGCAGCGGGTCGTACCCGCCGATGACGACCGTGGCGGGCGGGAAGAAACCGGCGGCGGCGGCGGCGTCGATGCCCGTTGTGGCGCCCTCGGGCGACGACGCCTCGTGGTCGCGGTCGGTGCCGTGGGGCAGGAACGCGCGCCACATCCAGTCGGTGCGCGGCACGGAGACGATGGGCGCGCCCACGAGCCGCAGCTCCGCGGGCGTGCGCTCCTCGCCGCCGAAGAAGGGCTGGATGGCGATGAAGCCCGCGAGGCGGAGGCTCGCGAAGGCGGACGGGTCCAGCGCGTAGCGGCGGGCCACGTGGTGCGCGATGTTGCCGCCCGCGCTGTCCCCCGCGAGGAAGCACCGCGCGGCGTCGATCGGCGGGGCGCCGGGGCCGGGTACGTCGGGCCCGCCATCGTCGAGGAAGCGGAGCGCCGCGAAGCCGTCGTCGTAGGCGGCGGGGAAGCGGTGCTCGAGCGAGCGGCGGTAGTCGACGGACAGCACGGCCGCGCCGGCGTGCCTGGCGATGCGGCGGCACGCGGCGTCGTAGGCCGGGGACGCCGCGGAGTGGTACGTGAAGCCGCCGCCGTGGAAGAACACGACGACGGGCACCGCCGCCGGGCGCTCCGCCTCCGCGTCGTCGTCCCCGGCGGCGGTTGGAGCGGCGCAGGGGTAGAAGAGGCGCGCGCGGAGGGGGACGGCCGGGTCGATGGTGACGTCCCGCGAGGCGACGCCGTTGCGCGGGGCCGCGCACGCCGCGACGCCCTTGTCGAGCACGCCCAGCAGGCGGCGGTTGACGGTGCCGTCGGCGCGGCGCGTGGCGTCGGTGACGTACCCCGCGGCGAGCACGGAGAGCCGCGTCCGCCACGACATCGGCGGCGCCACCCTCCCCTTCGCCGGCGCCGGATCCGCCGCGGCTTCCCCCATGGCCGCCGCCTCGCCGGCCGCGCGGAGGAGTTCGTGTGGCGTTGGACTCCTCACTCCTCGAATCGAGCGGGACTGACAAGGCTGTTTGTCCACCCGTCGTCGTCCTCTTCCCTTCCCGTGTGTTTAAAACAAGCGAGACGGAGACACGATCTTGGTGTTGGGGTCCTGAAGGTGATGGGATTGCGGGACAGGGTCGTGGCGCACCCGGTCCCTGACGTGGGTGCGCGACGACCTGTCAGTCGCGTGGCCACGCACACACATCTATCGTGATATTTACGAGGGACAGAAGGACTCGTGGCGGGGCCGAGGTGTCAGCGGGGAGACGCGCGCCTTCGCCGCCGGCAGCCCGGCAGCTAGCGGCGGACGCCGGTGGGTTCTGGTTGGCGGTGGGACGACGGGGACCGCGCGGATGGCATTAATCAAGATTAAGGCCACGCCGTGGGCCGTGCCATGGCGGAGGGGAAGAGAGCGAGAGATGTGGTGGTGGCCGGTGGGGGAGAGCTTGTGTTTGCAACTGCAACCACCACGGCGGCCCAGCATCGAATGCGCCGCCGTGGCCGCGCACGGCGCGACGAGAACGGCCCGGCAGGAGGGGCGAGACTTAATATTTTTATTTATAGTCCGTCGCCGGCATAATATAATTATATTAGATAATAAAACCTGCATGCAACTAAGTATAAATCCTGGCTCCGCCACTGCCGGCAAGTTAATTGTACCTGCATGCAACTGCAACCGCACGGCATGGATGAGCAGGGAGCCGTGTTGGAGGCTTGCGTTTGCCGTCCTCTCGCCCGGTGTACTTCCAGAAGATGCCGACGTCGACGCCTAGAGGAAAAGGAAACTCTTCGGCCAACTTGGGCCCAGTTCCTAGGCCCGTTTATAATAATATCACCAGACCTGTCTCATGGATCGATTTGGTACGGGGCGTACAGCCTACAGCGTGCTTAGCTCAGCTCGGGCAGGTTTTTGCTGCCTGAGTGAGCCCCAACGTTGGCCGCAGGCCAGCTTTTCTTTCTGGTATTGGGTGGTTGTCAACCGACAATGAGTTTTGTTTTCGGCCCAGGCTCTTCACTACACATGGGCCGAAAAAGAAATATCAAAAAGAAAAAAGGTCAATTCTATATCTCTGTAATATTACAGATTTATAGCTGCCTGATTTTATTTCTCACTCTAAAACTATCTTACGCCCTTCAACTCTTAGAACCATTCAAATTACCTTCATATCCTAGTTTAGAGTGGGTTTAATTGTTTAAAGGTGGTTTTAAACCTTTTTAGTTAAAAAAGGTAAATACTTGATAAGGTTTTTAAATTACATAAAACCCCTCTAAGTTTTTAAATTTTAATTTTTTCCTAGAGATAGATTGGGATATAGAAAAACATAATAAAAATACTTAAAGCTCATTGAAAGCATCGTTAGGAGTTTTTAAAAAATAGAGTTAGCTCTAGACAATGGAGAATAATATTTGGAAATACGTAAAATTCACAAAAATTTTGTAATCAATGTATAAACATGTTCTGAATTTTGCATAAAAAATATGAGATGGCAATATGAATGCAACATGCATTAATTTTGAAGGCATTCATAAAGACATCACATATTTTTTTATGAATGCATTCTAACTATGGGATATACACCACATTCCAAAACATAAAGTCTCCTACCATGGACCTATGTGATATACACCACATTCCAACTACTTTTGTGTATCTTGTGTTGGATGCCACACCCACACGAGGGCAATCTTAAAGTCGCGACAATTTCCTACTTTTGATAGATTCAATTTACTTTTGATAAAAAAACTAAACAAGGTGGCATCCATATCACACATGCCACCTGTCATTTTTTTCATAAAAATACAAAAAAGACAAATATTACGAAACCAAAACGAGTGCCTTGTGGGTTTCAAACTTAGGAGATATGAGTGAGTGCTTTAAAACAACTTAGAAACAAAGTGCTCGAATGCTATTTTTTCTTCACCCACCCTAGGCCTCCAATAAGCATCAACCTATATGTCAGAAATAAATGTCTTAACAAGACGTGATACATGGTTACAATTAAGATTAGAGAGATTATCTTCAAAATGGAAAAATATTTGATAAAATTTGATTGTTTAAAGCTATCGGCTATTTAAAAGATGAGCAAAACTAATAAACATACACTCAATGAAAGATAGATCGTTGGATAAAGCAAAATCTACACTTTTAATCGTTTTCCTCCTCTAGGTAACTAGATGGATACCTTATGATTTTAATAAAATTAGACTATTTATATTT